AGATGAAGAGGATGACACTAGTTCAAAAAACAAACCAAAAAAGGACCCCCCCCCCAAGGTAAAAAAGGGGGGGGGGATTAATAAAAAAAAAAAAAAAAAAATAATAATATCGGTGTCAACCCTGACACAGGGAACTGACCCTTTATGCCATCAAGATAAAAATAAATAAATAATAATAAAAAAAAGGACTCAAAAATTCCCCCTGGTCTTACCCTATGACCCTTCCATCAAGTAAGAAGCAGAAAAGGAGAGGTTCACAAACTCCTCCTTCTACCTTGGGGTGGGTATCAGCATGCTCTGCCATATTTGCTGCCTTTGAAGTGGCCACCTCCAACATACCAGCCAACGTCTGGAGTCTAGTGTCTTATCCTATGGCAGAAACACTCCAGAGGCTCCACCCTGATCCTTGCTCTTCAGTGGGGGTTCCAGGTGTGGCACTGTTGATCGGGCACCCGCCTTAACTGCAGCCATGTTTCCCTCCCCCTCGTGTTGCAGCTTGCTCACATGGAACACTGACAGTGCCAGACACCAATATGGTGTCCTCATCACTTCCACCCACACCTCACTTCTGCCAGAACCAGCAACAGTGAAACAGCTTTGGAAATGTCAAGTGTCCACCCTTGACCATGTGTCCTGCAGCGTGAAACCCTGTGGCAGCAGTGAGAGTGTACCTGCCCAGGAGCAATGTTCATCAACATACAGCTATATGCAGCTGGAAAAGGGCACAACTAAAATCTCAATACACCCACTGACCAGTAGCTTCTTCCCTCTTGAGAAGGCATCATGGACAGCAAAAAACAGTCCTCAAATGGTTCTAAAGCCTTAAGGAAGCGGGGGTCTGTGTCTATGGACGTAGGCAGCAGGGCTTGGGAGCAAGCCAGTACGAGTGCCCCCATGAGAAGCAGAATCCTATGGGGCACTGGATGAATAGGAATAGCCAGGAGCGCCAGCAGAGGATCAGAGAAAAGAAAGATCGGTGTTGCTCTGTGCAAAACCATTGCCATCTATTCCCAGAGGATCAGTAAACTGGAGAAAAATGCTGCCTCACTAACTGCAGTGCTGCATGGGCGCTCTACACCATCTCTTCCCGCCCTTTCAGCGTGAGGTAGTTTTCCCACTATTCCTCTATATACAAAAGGTCACGCAGATTTACCCTGGTTTGTCTTTGCTGCTGCCTACTACAACTCATTTAACCTCTTCTGCTTTCAGTAGCTGGTTTGTACCCAGGCTCTGCATAAGTGTGTTCATTTATGTTGCGCATACCAAATTAAACTCTGGAAATTACAATTATCTTCAAAAGTATCCAAAGCCAGTTTTTGTTTGTTTTGGATAGAGGAGTAAAAGGCTACAACTCCAGGTTACATCTTTATTGCTGTAAGATTGCCTGGTGAGGAGATTCGGCCTCTATGTGCCTTGGTGAGCGCTGTCACAGGACTGAAAATGAGAGAAAATCCGAAAGGTTTTGTTTGTTAACAGGACAGGAATAGAGGGGTCTTCCAAAAAACACATTGGTTCTTTCGATAACTTCTTAAGTGGGGTATTTTATTTTTTGAAGAGACATCCTCTAGCTTCCCGTTATGTCTACAGGACAGTAAGTGAAAGTAATTGGTATACAAATACATAAATAAATGTGTGCTTCTAATCATTTCCTTCTCTAGCCAAAGAAAGTTTTGGCTTTAGATATACTTCAAATCTTTTAATTTTTAATTGAATTGTATTTAATTGAAAGTTCAAAGGAACATATGAGAGTACAATATACTAAAAACACAAATGAAAGTAGAGGAAGTCTACCACTTTTAAGTTGCCATTCTCCATATTTGTTCAAAAGTGTAACTAAAAGGCAAAATTTATATTTTGGTTTCCCATTAGGGAGATTCAATCTCTAGAACTGACCTGATCACCAAAGTCAACAGGAATGAAAGTGAGGGAAAACACAACATTTTGAGTGGATACCAGAACAGGAATAGCGAGGAAATCTTCCAATGGGAACACTTGTTCCCATGACAATTATTTAAGAGGTGATATCCCTTACATTGGAATGATGTCCTCTCACTTCCTGTTGAGAATACAGTGCAGGAAATAAGGGGAGAAAAAGATTAAAAGAATGCAATGACATGGATTTTCACACTACTGTACCCTAAAAGAAAAAAAAAATAAAAAAACAAAGCCAAAATAGTTTTTGTTTTTTTAGGTATACTTTTAAGTAAAAGAAATGCCTAACACTATATTTAAAAATCGTACTCCTCCCTGCTCCTACCTATCCCTCCTAACCCTTTATAAAAAAAGAGAAGATCTGTATAATTAACTTTTTTTTCATCTGCTTTGGTCACGAGATCCTGCAACCCTGGCTCACCTGTGTCAGTGAGTGGCTGCTGCAGGGGAGAGGATTTAGTGGTAGCAATGGCTGGGCTAAGGGTGCCTATGGGTGACATCACGGCTCTCAGAATTCCCTGATGTTGTGGAGCACTTCCCGAGCCAAAGCTGCAGCATCAAGCAATCAGACTAAAAAAATACGTGCACACATCTTTTTTTTTTTCATACAGTTTAGACAGGATAGGTAGCAGGAGGGGAGATGGCATGATTTTTAGGAATAGTTAAGCTTAGGTATTCTTCCACTTTAGGCCTTTCTGGAATGTTTTTACAAAAACTTTATATTGTACCCTGCATGATGTGTCTATTTACATTATCCTACTAAACATTCCCTGTTACAGTATAAACCCCCCCCCCCCAAAAAAAAAACAAACAAAAAAAACACATTCTATGTATTTGTAAAAATGCCAACAAAAGTCATGTAATACAGATAATCCACAATGGGAATAATAACAGCAATAATGTTAAGAGTGAATACATTTTGACATTTGATTTAAAATTCATTAAAATGTGTGAAATGGATGAAGTGGTCATATTTCACAAACTGAAAAAAAAAATGAAAAATTACAATATAAAAAAAAAAAAAAAATAAAAAAAAAAAAAAGGTCCATCACCCATTTATTGTTCAAGCACAACAGCCATAACAGGTAGAAAAGCAGCAATCATGACAAAATGGCCACCCCAAATTTGAAGTGAAGTGAACACATAACTTTCACTGAAAACACAAAAAAATGTGCCAATAAAAAGGATCAGACGTGAATAAAATAAAATGTAAACCTGAAAAGGTGACTGAAGGAACAGTCTATTAAAAATAACTGAAATACAGTCCTTACTTTCTCGTAGGTGGCTTGAGATTCAGCAGGCACCTCCACATAGCTCTCACCACTCTAGGATCAAATCCAAGTCACAGACATTTAATATCCAAAAAGGAGCAGCCAAACATAGGCCACAGTGAGGAATAAATAGTGTTCAGCTATCTCATATATTCAGTGTAATCAGTAATACAACATGTTAGTATTCACATTGGCCAGGAATGCCTTTCACATAAAATACAGAAATAAAATAAACATTTGATGGAAATAATATGTTAGAACTATGAAAAGTAACCCAAAAGGGAATATTGCTGAACCCAAATATTACTTCCTGCAGGTCAGATCTCACTGTAATGTGATCTTCTCCCAAAATTGGCTATGGTCAGATCTACCGACCAGCACAGCAAATGCCTGCACATTAGCGGTATGTGTTATACAGGAAGTTTATTCAAAAGGGTGGTTTACATCTGTGCAGGGTCTATTTCACTATGTGTGTGCATATGAACCATGACAGACACTCTGCAGGGAAGGAGGATTCATTACCCTATAACATTACTTTCGTTATTTGATGTCCATATTTTTAACATGTATGTTATGTTCACAATGCAATGGATATGTCTGCAGAACACCATGTAATCTTATGCAATGCTACTTTGTTGTGTGACAGGGATAGTCAGATCTCCCAGTTGGATGCAGTAACAAAATTAACACTCAAAAAAAAAAAAAAAAAAAAACACTTACTGTACACCTGTTAAAGCAAGTAAAGCATGAAGGACAATGTCCCTGTCAATGTATATGCAGCCAGCATACACATTTGAGCAAAGCTGCTTATAAACCTGGTCACTGCAATGCAAGGATAACTGCAGTAGATCGTCAGGTAAAAGCAGGTGAATGTATATGCAATTTTAAACTTCTCTGAGAAATGCAGAGCATAGCTCACCACATACCAACTTCTGAGTTTCCCCTTTGGTCCTTTAGGGCCTGTGCCGACATGCTTTGGTTCACTTCAAAACAGGCTTTACATTCCTAACCAAGTCTATGGGAATGCAATATCTGCTTGAAGTAGGTCAACTGCAGATCACATGCACCTGTCAAGGAATTCTGTCAAAAGCATCAGTTTGAGATGCTTTTGTGAACATTCAGAAGCCCAAAGCCCAATCGGCACAGGCCTTTAATGTGGTGGGTGGCTTCAATGACCAATGACCAATGCCAAAAACAATACTAAAAAAAAAAAAAAAAAAAAAAAAAAGAAGAAGAAGAGTAGAGACTTGCACATAAATGTAATAGCTTAAAAGTTTGCAATGACTGAAAATTATTTTAGAATATACAAGCCTTGCGTGAGCAAGTTTTCTTTACATGCTCAATATGAATTGCCCAGTTTGTAAAAGTTGCTTAAAAGATAATCTGTCAATACAAATTAAATAAAAACTGCTGAAGTAATAAGTACAGATACCTAGAGCGACATGCACCTATCTGTAGCAGCCTGTAAAAGACCTGCTTTTTCTGTGAAATGCCCACCTCTTCATACCTCCTTCAGTGAGGCTGCCACCATATCACAGTGATGTGCTAATTGGAAGGTGGAGGCAAGCTCCAAAATTATCTAGAATAGTCAGAACTTGGCCTATAAGAAGGGAACAGCATTTAGCCATAAAGGCAGGGTATTACAGGCTGCTGTAAGTATGTGCAGGTACCTACTGGGCAATCCACTGGGCAAAATATACGCAATATAAAACATTGACACATAGAAAACAACAAAAAAAAAAAAAAAAAAAAAAAAAAAGGGAGTACTTCTATTAATACGGCTATTTAACAATGTACCTTTTCTGCTTTTTCCGAGGGCCCAGCTGCAACTTCAACCATGATGCTCTCACCATTCTGAATTTCATAGCATCATAAAAAAATTAAAACAATTTTACATTAATACCATTATTTAAATTAACAAATCAAAGCAAATCAAGAGAATTTCTAATGATATCCAACACTGCAAATCACTCAATTTATTCTAATCTGAGTTCTCCGTTATCCACTACACCAGGTTTGAAAGAGCTTCTCAGAGCGTCAGTCGGAATGTAAATCTTTGGAGGCTGTGTCCTATACACCAGCTTCTTTTCTGCTTCCTGCATCCCCAAATCATATTTAAAAGGAGAGGAGGGCCAAAGATCTTTTGGCACTGCTTCTCCTGTGGGTCACAGGACTATACTTTGTTCTGCAATCCTGTGACCTGTTTTCAGCTCACAGCAGGCTAATACCCGTTGTCGGCTGACGTCACAGAGCAGTTCTAGGCTTGAAAAGACCTGACTTAAAATTCCGGAAGCTGCCCACAAGGCTGACTGGCAGCTGGCTCAGCCTCTCAGCGTGCCGCTGAGAGCCTGAGCCAGCTGCATCTACCCCCTCCATAGCCCAGTATTCCAGTGAGCGCTGGAGGGGTAGAATAGAGAGTCAGTGACAGAGTCACAAGCTCCCTGCAGACTGAAGACCGAGAACTGAGAGATCAGCGTTCTTTGATCACAGAGTTAGTGTAAGAGCCAGCGGGGGACAGACACAGCTGGGATCGGTGCTGCAGCCATCTAGCAGAGTATTATTTTTTTGTTTTTTTCCAGTTCCTAAACTTTTAAAAATTTCCAAATTAGGTTTGGAATTGAAACTGTAGCTGACAGAGCCTATGTACTTATACATTTACCATTAAGCTTTCTATACGTGAGTACACAGTACTATACAGTGGGTATGCCTGGGAGTTCCTCACCAGTGCCACAAAGGGATTCCCAGATCAGCACATTTCTGACAATGGAGTGGAGTGGTTTGTTGCACTGCAGCAATGCCAAGATGAAAAAATAATGAGCAGGTAGGCTGTGCATCCGAACCTCAGCATATTTATTATTTGATCTCTTTTGCAAACAAGGGTGTATGAAAACTGCTCTAGTTCACATCATCTAATCTCATATCTTCTTGCTTAATCCTCTATACCGAACTATAAAAAGTTAGAAGCATTTTGCATTCTCCTGCACTCTCTCAAGAGTCAGTTCTAATATGCTGAATTGCATCACTTTTTAATATAGAAAAGTGCAACAGATCCCCGCCAAGTTGGACCTGGTGTACAGGATCTGAACTGTCAGCAGACCACTCACATCTTTCTCTCTACTAATGTTGTGATTACACTGCATGAGATGACCCTACAGATTTAACAACCCTCCTCCTTGTTGCCACACTCAGATGAGTAGGGAGGCAGGCAGATGGATAAGAGCATTTCTAGCTGAACTGGTCTGTGCCGTGTGTCACAGACAGCACAGAACAGGGAGCGGATCATCATTTTGTTAATTAGGAGTAGCCTTTGCTCCATTTTCTCACATGAGAAGAATGGTGCATGCATACAGCCTAAACCACTCTTTGTTAATTCCCCCCACTGTATTTTTGCAGCCAAATTGGGATAACAGATCATTTATATTTGTGACATGTTCTGTATAACATAGAATAACCTAAAAACATAAAAATAAAATATATGTGTGTGTGTATATATATATATATATATATATATATATATATATATATATATATATATATATAGTTCCTTCAAAATGTTTATGGGGGAGCTGTGGAGTAATGTCTAGCATTCTTAACCCTGTGCCTGTACTGTGCTCGCAGCTCTTCATTGTCAGTTACTAGATCTGAACACCATCTGTCCTATCAAAGGATTAAGGCTCCCTTCCCACTTGTGTGACTTGTCATGCGACTTTGGACAAAAAAAAAAAAAAAAAAAAATTGCACGTCAAGTCACAGTACATTGTTTTCAATGGTACCTGTACGGATATATGCGACTTAAAGTCGCAGTGACTTTGAAGAAGTTCCTGCACTATTTTGATGCGACTGATGCAACTTGAGTGCCAGAGAGAGTGTAAAGTTGCATGTTAATGAGAAATTGCCTCCTGCATTGCATGATAATGAGAAATAGCTCAGTGATCGTCCAGTCTGTGTGGGGACAGAAACACAGGGAGACTTTTCATAAAATGCTTATAATCTACCATAAGGCCTTCTGCTCAGAAACAGCTAAAAAGGCAAGAAATAATAACATTTTTTAAGGTATGCTGTGGGAATGGGAAACAAAAATAAAACAAACCAAAAAAGAAAAAAAAAAATCTGACTGCAAAAATGGAAATACACTTTTCATTTTCCAAAGAAGCAAACCACAGCTTAGAATGACATTGAAGTCTAGATTCCAAGACTAAAATTAGCATGGTCAGTATGCAACTTGGCATTAACGTTAGTTTGTTTACCTAAATCATTTGTACATAGGATTTTAAAAAGGCATAAAAATGGTGTTTACCTGGTACACTGTTACCCTAAAATCCTGCTCATTATTTTATTATAAGATGACAATAAAATGTTAAATTATTATTTTTTCACAACATTGTTTCATTAAATGTGATTTACTTTATGTACCTTGTCTTTTACTCAGTGTAAATTACATCTACAGTTGTCACCATGTCTATTTTTAGGGAAGGTCCAGTGAAAGCTGAAGCTAGCAGATTTGTAAACAAACCCAATGTCTGGCTAATGGTGAGCACCCGATCGAAAAACATTGCTGATTGTTTCTCGATCAGTAGTGGCTGTCAGTGACACAAGTGTATGGTCCTAAATGTAGAACAGAAACAGATTAACATTCTCTCAGCACAGGAAACACCACCCAAGAATGTTAATCAACCGAATACGATTGTCAGTGTGTTAAAAAAGTTTATTTAACATTGTTTGCATAGTATACATTCTCACAAATTGTTCTCATACCTTTTGTGATGAATGGAGTTATAAACACAAAAAACACATCATATAGAAGAAGGAGTCCAAGTAGGATCACACAGGCCTGAAAAACAGAAGTAATGAATACACTGTAATTCAGCAACCCTTAAAAACCTAAAAATTAGGTAGCAGTCAAAGTGCCACTAAAACAAAACACAGATATAAGTTGCTCAGATAAAGTATGAACACAATGGATAGAAAGTTCTAAAAGGACAGTTAGAAGTTAAGAAATTTTATGCCCTGGGTCCCTTCCATATACCATAAGGCCATCCTATACCCTACACTCTCTCAGTGAATCCTCCTGTAAAAAGCAGACTCTTCATTCCCCCCATACACCTGTAGCCCCTCTCTTTAACAACCCTTTATTCCCACCACGTCTAATGTCCCTTCAATTTGGCTGGTGGCAGAAGGCCTTGATCGTATAAGACGTTTCCTCAACCGGAAAGGGTATACGTCCCCCCACGTATTTGTGCAGGATCTAGAGATGCATCCTTCTGGGAGTTTCTGCTTGCAGCAAATCCAGCACTATCTCCACTCACTACAGAAAATGAGCTCTGATCTAACTAAAATACACTCACTGGCCACTTTATTAGGTACACCTTGCTAGATATAAGAAAATATCCCTCACACCATTACACCACCACCATCAGCCTGAACCGATGATACAAGGCAGGATGGATCCATGCTTTCATGTCGTTTATGCCAAATTCTGACCCTACCATCTGAAGGTGGTGGCTCCTCAGACCTCACAACATTTTTCCAATCTTCTATTTTCCAATTCTGGTGAGCCTGTGCGAATTGTAGCCTCCGTTGCTGTTCTTAGCTGACAGGAGTGGCACCTGGTGAGGTCTTCTGCTGCTGTAGCCCATTCGCTTCAAGATGTCGTTAGTTCAGAGATGGTATTCTGCATACCTTGGTTGTAACATTTGGTTATTTGAGTTACTGTTGCCTTTCTATCATCTCAAACCAGTCTGCCCATCCTCCTCAAGGCACTTCTGTCCACACAACTGCCGCTCACTGGGCAATTTCTCTTTTTTTGGACCATTCCCTGTAAACCCTAGAGAGATGATTGAGTGTGAAAATCCCAGTAGATAAGCAGTTATTTAAATACTCAGACCAGCTCGTCTGGAACCAACAACCATGCCCACATTCAAAGTCACTTAAATTCCCTTTCTTTCCCATTCTGATACACGGTTTGAACTTCAGCAAGTCTTCTTCACCACGTCTAGATGCCTAAATGCATTGAGTTGCTGCCATGTGATTGGTGATTAGCAATTTGTGTTACTAAACAATTAAATAGGTGTACCTAATAAATAAAGTGGCCAGTGGATGTAGAGCTATACAAGAGAGACTCTCCAACGTGGATGCATTTCGATGTTGTACAGAGCATTTGTCATCCCCCTCTCTAAAAATTCCTTACCAGATTGCATGGGAAAGGGACCAAAACATAACCCTGGAACTGGAGAATTGGCAGGCCTGGAATACTCGTATATACAAGGTCGTTATGAATATAACCTTGGTGGAAGCAGGGTACAAAGTATATGCTAGATGATGCCTAGTAACAGAATGACTAGCAAAAATGTACCCGGGCACCTCTTCCTCCTGTTTCCCAGGTTGTGGTCATGTGGAGATAACCCTTCACATCTGGAGGACCGGTCCTAAAGTCAGGTGCTTCTGGATGCGTGTCCATTCATTAGTTTATTCTGTAACCATGGTCAACATAGTCAAAGATTCCTGGATAGCATTGTTAAATGAACCGGTTGAAAATATCCCTAGACACACAAATTCTGATCTATTTTCTTTTTGGCAGCCAAAATTGCAATAGCCACTACGTGGAAAATTCCAGTAGAGAATCTTGCTTTTCTGAAGTGAAAGCGGACCTGGAATATGCTTCATGAAAAGATGGGAAGTGTCTTACGGGATAAACAATTACTATTTGAAAAAATATGGAACCCCTGGCTCTCTTATCTGCAGGTACGGGATACCTAGAGATGATCTCCTTGACGAGATGATGCTGTCCTCCTGAATCCCTGGAAGGACACTTCCTGTCTCCATTATTCCTCCTATTTTCTTGCTTTTGCTCTTTAGAGACTTTCTTCCCAACTTGCCTTCAATAATAATGCCGGGTCCTCTATCCTGGGTCTCATCAGTTGTTTACCATATGTGTTACATCACAGTACAGTATCTGTTATATTTTGGAAATTGCAATGTTAATATTACTGATGGGAATGATCTGGGTTCGTCCCTTACTCCTATACGACTCCTGGAAAAGGGACATACCCACTGGATCGTGGATGGAAGGACAGGTGCAGGCCAGCCTGTCTCTTCTGCATAGAGCCCCATATGGTCCTCATTGTAAATTCATTTGTTTGTTTTCCCTTTTGTATACAGGTCTTCTCTTTCTGAGTCAAGATTGGTTGATATTGCAACTGTGGACTTTTCCCGGAAATCTCAACGGTTGTGAGTGTTATTTGATAGTGATATGGGATTATATTGGTATTCTTTATTACTATATGCCTTTACTATTCTTAATAGTCTCAACAATGTAAAAAAAGATGCAAAAAATGTTATATTATCCTATTTTGCAAAACTAAAACGATTGAAACAGAAGCTAAGAAATATTATAGAGTGTTCACTTATCCTAGAAACTGTCTGGAAATCTTTATAAGCCAAAAAACACAAATTTTAATCAAAATATATTTAAACAGATACATTTTCTGAAAACGCACAGGCTGCACTTTAGGCCACTGCAATCCACTTTGCCTACAATCATCAAGCAATCTCTTTTAGAGAATGCTAGAGGGAATTCACATTAAATTTAACCAATGGCTATTGATTCCAGTTAGTGTTTTCTAGAATTGTTACATTGGGGTTTATTTACTAAAAAACTGGAGAGTGCAAAATCTAGTGCAGCTGTGAATGGTAGCCAATCAGCATTTAACTTCAGCTTGCTCAATTAAGTTTTGACAAAAAAAAAACTGGAAGCCAATTGGTTTCTATGCAGACCTGCACCAGAGTTTGCACTCTCCTGATTTAGTAAATCAACGCAGTTGTGGCTTTTGTTAAAAAAAAAAAAAAAAGAGAATCTATGTAATTCCTATGCTCATCACCTCCATCTAGTGGTCATAATGCTGTATTTTACCACTGCCCATAATAAAACATAATTTGTTAACCAGTTGCCGACCGCAGATAGCCAAATGATGGCTACACTGCGGCCAGCCAGTTCTGGGAGGGCGTCATATGACGTCCTCCCAGAACACGCTCTCCTGCACGCCCCCAGGGGCGCACACCCAGCGATCTCCATGATCGTTGTGTCCTACGGACACAGCTGATCACGTAATGTGGTAAAAGGCCAATCACAGCGGCCTTTTACCACGTGATCAGCCGTGTCCAATGACACGCTGATCACAGGGAAATGCAATTGCCGGTTCTCGGCTGCACTTTCCTCACGCTGTCAGATCGTGCGGAAAGTACTGCCGAGAACCGGCAGTTGTTAGAGCAGGAAGCGGCACCGATCATCAGGGCAACGATGATCAGTGCCCTGATGATCGGTGCCCAGCAGTGAAACCCACCAGTTCCGCCCATCAGTGCACCCACCTGTGCCCAGCAGTGCACCCACCTGTGCCACACACCTGTGCCCAGTAGTGCCCACTAGTGCCACACCTGTGCCCAGCAGTGCCATCCAGAAGTGCCACCTACCTGTGCCCAGCAGTGCCATCCAGAAGTGCCACCTACCTGTGCCCAGCAGTGCCACCCACCAGTGCAGCCCAGCAGTGCTGCCAGTCAGTGCCCAGCGGTTGCGCCAGTCAATGCTCCCTAGCAGTGATGCCAGTCAATGCCACCTATCAGTGCTGTCTATCAGTACCCATCAGTGCCGCCTGTCAGTGCTGCCTATTCGTGCCACCTCATTAGTGCTGCCTATCAGTGCTGCCTCATCAACTCACATCAGTGAAGGAGAAAAATTACCTGTTTGCAAAATTTTATAATAGAAACAAGAAACAAAGAAACTCAGTGCCGTCAGCTGACAGCAGACTTTAGCCAGCTGCTGACTGAATATGGGTCATAGGAGTGTATAACTGCGTGCACTCCTGTGACCTACAGAAGGCCAAAAGAGCTTCCGCCCTGCATCTCCTTTAAGAAAGAAAACAGCAAAAAAACAAAAAAAAACAAATTTTTTTTTATATAAAGTTTATTTTTTTATTTATTACCTCCTTTAAATTCATCGCTCTCCACTTGAAATTTGTACAAAAGGCAAATCAAGGAACACTAGGATTCACTCTTTGTGTGTTACTACAGAAAGTCAAACAACTTCACTCTCTAATATTTTTCAATAACGACAAACCAGTTGACCTGTATAGGAAGCTTAGTGATCCAGACTGGCCCAAATTACAGGTACTTATACAAACATACTTGGGTGCCTACTATCAAAAAAGACCCTCTCACCTTGAAATTTGGCATTCGCAGAGTCTTTATAAAGTTGAGGCAGAATGCAATTCCCAAAATATCTTGCAATATCCATATCCATCTGAAACAAAAACGGGGAAAAAAAAAAAAAAAAAAGTTAACAGCTTTAAAGGCCAAGTTCACCTTTCTGAACAAGTTAGACCTGTATTTAGGGGGTAACACGCAATATGTTCAGCATCCACCCCCTCTCCCCCAGACCTCCCTCCTCCCTGTGACAGCGGGTGGAGGAACTTCTCCCTGCACCTGCTGTCACAATTTAAAACCAGCGCAGCCATGCAGTGCTCTGCCCATGCGCCAGAGTCAGAGTCATTTACAGTTTCCTGTGCATTAATAGATTAAAAGTATCATCAGCCATCATGAGGGAGCTGGTGAGCGCTCTCGTAGTTCATTGATCTTCGTGCTCGCAAGTAACTGCCTGCCCCTATCAGAGGTACGTGCAGAGAGCTTTCCTGAGAGTCTGCAGGAGCCAGACATTGCACCAGCAATGTCCTTATTGTGGGTGCAACGCTCCATGGGCTCCTTAGACAAAAATTTAAAAAAAGCCCTTTTTTTATCTGCAAAAAAAAAAAAAAAAAAAAAGTGCATTTATTTCCAAAAACCACAGCAGGTGATATAAGTTGTCTATACTTACTGCCTCATACTCCCCTACTGCCCCAATCAGATGTCAGAAAGCCTTGTATTCAGTGAAAAGAATACAAGAAAGGGGAAGGGGGGGAGAGAGTGATGTAATATCCTTCAGTGTATACCAGCTGGAAGTGTCAGTCTGAATTGTGGAGGCTTGCAGCTCACAGTCAATTTCCGGTATAATAAAACATTTACCATCCCCAAAAACCTTCCAGAGAAGTAATGTGCAATTCTTTGCCAAACATGTCTAGTCTATTAACAAAAAAAAAAAAAAAAAACCAAAACAAACAAACAAAAAAAAAAAACACAAACAGACAAGTACTTTTTTCCTGGAGTTACATTTTAAAGTTGCTCATGCAGATTAGTCCTTACCATTGGTTTGTCAACACTTGCTAATCCTATGTATATATGGCAACACAGGAGAATGCTTGTCTAATCTAAACATTAACCATTGGGTTTAAGGAATCTTAATTCCAAAGGATGAAGTGGAATATTCATTTTGGTTGATTGCTAATAAATTATGCTTCATTCACATGCTAAGGCCTGTACACCATGAACTGGCTTATAAGCAAGTCCATGAGGACACAGCCATTTGTCCTAATTTAACAGGCTTGTGCATTTGAGGCCGCTCACCCACACCCCTGTCAGATTAGGACAAATAGCCAATCCATGGTGTATGAGCCACAGTGCCTGTGTGAATAAGGGCTTACTTAACCTCCCTGGCGGTATGATTATTTCAGATTTTTGGTGCTGAAAGCGGTACCATTATTTTGCATGGAAATTTGGCGTTTTATATTGTAGGCCTGTAATTCTTAGGAATAACTCACTGAAATCTGACCGAACAAGAGTCTAGTAAACATCCCGGGTAGGATAAAACTCGAAACACAAAATCATAAATTATAATTTAATAATCATAAAATATAATAATAAATTTAATTCAATAATATAATCAAACCAAAAACACTGAAATTTGAAATATAGCGCCAAGTTCGCACATCGCTGAGCAAAGTTGCAAAATCTTTTTCAGTATCTGATGACGAATTTCCCCACGAATCATTATCACTCAATTCTGCAAGTGGTTCTAATTTACTATCGCTGTTCTCTAGCAGGTCTAAAACCGCTTTTGACCTAAAGGGACGCTTTTTGGACGCCATGGACATTTCTCAGTTTCCTGGTAGAAAGAACAGTAAAAATGAAGGCAGGGCTCAGGACAAATCACTCGGGACAAAATGTATGTGAAATGGTTAGTAAAACATTACTGTATCAATGTGATTTTAGTAATTTTTGTGAATATCACTTTTTGTCATTTTCAAATTTCCAGCCGTTCCATCCCCCATACGTCCCGACGCTCGCATAGGACGGAACCCAGATGACAGATGCCGGCATCCACCGGATTACATTGCCGGGGACACTGCAGGAGGGACATCGCAGGAGCGCAGGACAAGGTAAGTGATCGAGGGATTGCGGAGCAGTGCCGCATGGTAAGCCCGATTGTAGCTCGGGGTTACCGCCTGTGGTACTGAAACTTTACCCCGAGCTACACTCGGGAATACTGCCAGGGTGGTTAAGAAAAAAACAAAAAAAACCCCAAAAAAACGCACACCACACAACTCCTTTAGTGCTCCCCTCTGCCTCTTCAACAGCCAGTAGTATGCTTGCTCCTACAAAGCAAGTGTGTTGAATGTACCAGGTTCTGTATTTATAAAGATCTCAGGGTTCAGATTGTGCAGTGCGTACTGTTGTCACTCCTGTCAACATTCTCTATAACGATGTACCCTACACCACTCAGGAGCACGTTGTCCTCGTCACAACACTCCCTCTTCATATGTACTATTCACTGTTCAACAGTACAAATGTACATGTCCTGGTGTCTGCCACCAACTCCTTTACATAAAGCATTAAATATCTACCGCCTATATAGTAACAAACACCGCTCAGGAGCACATTGTCCCTGTTACGGTTTCCAGTACATATGGACCATCTGCTGTTCGGCAGCACCATGCGTCAGTCACCATTTACTATTCAAATGTATCATCCATTGCTCAGCAGCACATTATTTCTGTCACTGCTGTCTAAAATTCTGTTACAGATGAAATCCAGTGCCTAGCAGCATATTGTCCCTGCCATTGTTGTCACAAAGCAGGGGGGGACTGACCATTTGGAAGCTCGGGCACTGCCTGAGGGCCCGGGGTCAGTAGAGGGCCCCATGAGATGCCCCTGGTACCTTTTTCATAGGCTTTTTTAAGTTTGGGCAAGGACACAGGGGCCCCATGATCCCCTATTGGCCGAGGGCCCCATGAGTTGTCAGTCCGCCCCTGTCACAAAGTATCATATGTATAGTAAATACTGTACATATAAGTAGGTGATTCTAACATTGCTGAGCAACTTTCCTGGAAAAACAAAGGAATATTTAAGTTCTAGATGAATGGTTAACACTAAGAGACACAAGGTTGCATCCCCCCCTCCCCCACATCACTACCAACTTCCCTTTCTTTTGGATTCAAAGACAGTTGTTTGCAGTGACAAAAACCTGCATGTGCGTGTGTCAAGCATCACAACTGGAATGATTTTGTCACGTCACAACATATGGAATAGGTAGTGGATGGGAGACTTTATTTAAAATGAATAAAAAAGAGTTAAAACAATCATCTGCATGTGACACTGATCACATTCAACTCCCTTTAATTGACATCTTCCAGCCTCCACCCCATCTGCCGGTAAACATTTTCCTTTTCTAAAAATGTGGTTGCTAGGTGACTAAGTGTCATGGTCATGTGTATACACTGCGTAAACTGGTGGATTACAACTTACAATATGACCTCTACCTATTTTAGGATTATAAAATACAGTATATTGGAGGGCATAGTGGGGAGTCATAGATCCATTATAGATGTAATGTCTGAATGCCTGTAAGTCACTGGCCACCAGTAACTGGTAATATTTACACACTCTGATGAACCCAAAATATTTACATTTTTTACCTGGCTTTTTAACCACTTCAAGTCCAGACACTTTCACCCCCTTCCTGTCCCAGCCACTTTTCAGCTTTCAGCACCATCACACTTTGAATGACAATTGCGCAGTCATGAAACACTGTACCCATATGAATTTTTTAGCATGTTTTCGGAACAGATAAAACTTTATTTTGGTGGTATTTATTCACCACTGGGATTTTTATTTTTTTTTGCTATATAAATGAAAATGTCCAAAAATGTTGAAAAAAAAAAAAAAAAAGTGTTTTTCTTATAAAAAAGTTTGCAAATAAATCTTTCTTCATAAATCTTGAACAAAATTTACTCAGTTATCTTGTTAAAAAAAAATAATAACCCAAAATGAGTTTTATAACCAAAAATTATAAATTTTCCGGAAGACACAGCGGGCACTGGATCGCGGTGGTGCGAGCTCCCAGGGAGAGCGTACAAGCAGGGAGGCCGTTTATAAATGGCCACCCGCCCTGCACTGCTCCTATCCTGGCCATTTATATACACGATACACAAAATTTCATTTCTTTCTACACAAGTGAAAAAATCTGAATAACCTGTGGACATGTGTACTGTACATCAGCCGTACAGATTTTCATACAGTGTGAGACACCAACAGCTGCACAGTGAATACAAACAACTTATTTATAGTACAGTGGAAAGCGTGTCACATGAAAGTGAAGTGTTGTTCTATCCCCATTATCACATACAGTACCTATCTTCATTTCGGAACACTGCCCAGGTCACCGACACAGCTATGCAGAAGGCAGCCAAGAAAAGGAGCCTCACTTCAGCACTTTTATTGAAGCATGAAACTCTGTACAAAACATAAAAGAGAAAATTAACTGATGACGTCTGATCTGAAAAATACATGTAATATTTGCAATAAAGACACACCTGCATCTTCCATATGGGATATTCCGGATCAACGCAGAAAGGCAGTTGAACAAACTCATTGCAGATGCCAGGCAAAACACACAAATGATAACATACACTGTAGGCAAAAAGAATCACCTGTAAATAGTTGTAAGTATAAAACAAAAACTTATTTTCACATTTATATTAAAAACCAGGTTTTCAATCATTAGATATTGCATATTCTTCCAACAGAAACCCCCCCCCCCCCCCTCCCCCAGATTTCCATTACAATTTAAAAAAGGAGTTCAATGTGGACATAGGAAACGTAGACATCAGGCTGCAAAAGTAGATATGAGGCTTTGGTGTGCAAATGTAAGCATAAATAAACATACAAAAAATGAATATTAGTCATTTAATTTTTTTTTCCTTTTTTTTTTTACAAATGGTGCCTCCAACCCCTTTTTAATCATCTCCGAATTTCTCAGTGTGCTGGAAAAATATACATTCAAACTCAGAAGAAATTGAAGCCCCTTACCTAGCCATTTGTAGAAGAAGTACAGGAGAAGCAGCATGACGCAACAAATGACAACAAACAGAATAACAGTGAAAGGTGTAAATGTCACATTTTCATCTTTCTTTTTCCTTCCTTCACATTCATCTTCACTTGGAGAGGGTCTTAAGTCTTCCCTGCATTACAAACATTGTACAGCTTAATTAAAAATGTACCATAGTATTTCTGAATTGAAAAATAATTATTTAAGTAACTGAGTAGATGACTGAGTTAAGTAATGCAAATACCAAAATAGGTTTTGATGTGTATCATATTATACGCTATAAAATAAGACAATAAAAGTATTTGCAACTGACTTCTAATTAGGCTGATATTGTATTAGGCGGGGTAATTGACTGTGCATGGATTTACAAAGCCATCAGTGGAGATACACATTTTCATTTATACTTACATCTCAGACAGTCCACTCCAGTAACCACCCAATGCCACAGTGAACACAGAGATAAGGAAAATAACCATCAGGCTGAAATCAAACTGTGTGAGTGAAGGGGAGTACATACCCACAGCAATATCCTTTCCAACCACCTAGAAAAGAAAAAAAAAAAAAAAAAAAAAAAAAAAATGAATTGACATTACTCTGTACAAATTCAGCCAAAATTTTAAGCCAGCTAAATAGTCACCAAGCTAACCATATTTTTTCTACCTCGTGATACAGTCAGGTCCATAAATATTGGGACATCAACACAATTCTAACATTTTTGGCTCTATACACCACCACAATGGATTTGAAATGAAACAAACAAGATGTGCTTTAACTGCAGACCGTCAGCTTTAATTTGAGGGTATTTACATCCAAATCAGGTGAACAGTGTAGGAATTACAACAGTTTGCATATGTGCCTCCCACTTGTTAAGGGACCAAAAGTAATGGGACAGAATAATAATCATAAATCAAACTTTCACTTTTTAATACTTGGTTGCAAATCCTTTGCAGTCAATTACAGCCTGAAGTCTGGAAAGCATAGACATCACCAGACGCTGGGTTTCATCCCTGGTGATGCTCTGCCAGGCCTCTACTGCAACCGTCTTCAGTTCCTGCTTGTTCTTGGGGCATTTTCCCTTCAGTTTTGTCTTCAGCAAGTGAAATGCATGCTCAATCAGATTCAGGTCAGGTGATTGACTTGGCCATTGCATAACATTCCACTTCTTTCCCTTAAAAAACTCTTTGGTTGCTTTTGCAGTATGCTTTGGGTCATTGTCCATCTGCACTGTGAAGCGGCGTCCAATGAGTTCTGAAGCATTTGGCTGAATATGAGCAGATAATATTGCCCGAAACACTTCAGAATTCATCCTGCTGCACTTGTCAGCAGTCACATCATCAATAAATACAAGAGAACCAGTTCCATTGGCAGCCATACATGCCCACGCCATGACACTACCACCACCATGCTTCACTGATGAGGTGGTATGCTTAGGATCATGAGCAGTTCCTTTCCTTCTCCATACTCTTCTCTTCCCATCACTCTGCTACAAGTTGATCTTGGTCTCATTTGTCCATAGGATGTTGTTCCAGAACTGTGAAGGCTTTTTTAGATGTTGTTTGGCAAATTCTGATCTGGCCTTCCTGTTTTTGAGACTCACCAATGGTTTACATCTTGTGGTGAACCCTCTGTATTCACTCTGGTGAAGTCTTCTCTTGATTGTTGACTTTGACACACATACACCTACCTTCTGTAGAGTGTTCTTGATCTGGCCAACTGTTGTGAAGGGTGTTTTCTTCACCAGGGAAAGAATTCTTTGGTTATCCACCACAGTTGTTTTCCGTGGTCTTCCGGGTCTTTTGGTGTTGCTGAGCTCACCGGTGCGTTCCTTCTTTTTAAGGATGTTCCAAACAGTTGTTTTGGCCACGCCTAATGTTTTTGCTATCTCTCTGATGGATTTGTTTTGTTTTTTCAGCCTAATGATGGCTTGCTTCACTGATAGTGACAGCTCTTTGGATCTCATCTTGAAAGTTGACAGCAACAGATTCCAAATGCAGATAGCACACTTGAAATGAACTCTGGACCTTTCATCTGCTCATTGTAATTGGGATAATGAGGGAATAACACACACCTGGCAATGGAACAGCTGAGAAGCCAATTGTCCCATTACTTTTGGTCCCTTAACAAGTGGGAGGCACATATGCAAACTGTTGTAATTCCTACACCGTTCACCTGATTTGGATGTAAATACCCTCAAATTAAAGCTGACAGTCTGCAGTTAAAGCACATCTTGTTCGTTTCATTTCAAATCCATTTTGCTGGTGTATAGAGCCAAAAATTTTAGAATTGTGTCGATGTCCCAATATTTATGGACCTGACTGTATGTCAATGACATCTATTCACAGCTAATGCAGGCCATAGATGGGTCGAAAATCGGCTGATTTTTTCGACCGAAAAAAAAAAAAAAAAGCAAGCCGATTTTCACACCGTTAATAGGTTAATTGGTCGGCCGTTTTTCTGGATTTTGGCACTTTTTTTTTTAAATCGGTAAAGTTGGGAAGAAAAAAAAAAAAAAAAAAAAAAAAATCAGCCGATTTTCGCAGCAATGATGGGCAAATCGGCCAATCTTTTTACCGATAAAAAAAAAAAATCGGTGCATGAGCCGTGACCTGGAAGAAAAGGAGAAAGGAGGGAGGAGAAGGAAGGGAGACGGAAGAGAGAAGAATTCCTATCATGGTTTCTGAATTTAAAACTTTTTTGGGCCTAACCCTCAATATGGGCATAACAAGAAAAAAAAAAAAAAAAAAAAAAATGAACTGCGGTCATAATGATCCACAGACCCAATTCATCATATGCCCATGGTCTGTGCTGCCATGGCCAGGTATAGATATGAGATAACTCGCTTCATGCATTTCAGTGATAACACATGAAAAATTAAGAAAAAAGAAAAAAAAAAACACCCCTTGTGGCAAAAAATGTTATCTGCAAAAAATACCATGCCTTATCAAATTCCTTGGGGTGTCTACTTTCCAAAAAGAGGTCATTTGGGGTGAGGGGTTTGTACTGTCCTGGCATTTTAGCACCTCAAGAAATGCGAAAGGCAATCAGAAAGTAAAAACTGCATAAATTCCTATTTATCATAGTTTGTAGATGCTATAACTTTCACACAAACCAATTAATATACATTTATTGAGATTTTTTTTTTTTTTTAAACAAAAGACATGTAGCAGAACACATTGTTGGCCTAAATTTATGACTAAATTGGAGTTTACTGCATTTTTTTTTCATAACAAAATGTAGAAAATATTGTTTCTTTTTTAAAATTTCCAGTCTTTTATTGCTTATATCAGAAAGCACAAAAAAACCCAGTGGTGATCAAATACCACCAAAAGAAAGCTCTATTTGTATGAAAAAAAAAAAAAGAAAAAAAAAAAAGGGGGACACAAAAATTTTGTTTGGGTACAGTGTTCCATGACCATGCAATTACCAGTTGAAACAGCATAGCGCCAAATAGCAAAAATGGCCTGGTCAAGAAGAGAAAAAAAAAAACCTTCCGGGGGTGAAGAGGAGATACACAGTTGTCAAAAATTTCTTTATGTTTCAACACCTGTGTAAGCGCAGATGGGAGGAGGATTTGGATCCCCTCTGAGATGAGCTTTGGGATGTGCTGTAGAATAGTTAGATTATTTTGCTCTCTCCATCCCACAGAGTAACATAGCTTTTTTTTATTTTTTTTTTTTTTTTTAAAATGGCATTTCCCTAGCCCTTGACCCAACTGTATGTATCCTAGGATATGTTGATTCCAATACGTTGGATTCTAAAAAAGGTAAAATCGCAGTAGTTTTACGATCTTTTTACAGCAAGAAAATCACAATGGGTATCTTCTATTCCGTTGATGGTAAATGAGTGGAAATCTGAAATTAACAAAATACATTGTTTTCTATGAGAAAACCTTTCACAATACACACACGTTTGTTGAAATATTGTCCAGCTGGATAGAATGTTGAGGATGTTGTAATTATTGTTACTTGTGGGTTATTAGTTTGTTAAGTACTACAAAAAGGTGTATGGGTGATATATCTACTTAACAATAACAATTTGTGGGCTTTGTGCTGTATATTGGTTTTAATTTATATAATATATATTAATTTTATACGTTTTTTCCCATTTTCCTTACTACTTTTATTTTTTACCCTCTCTCTTATTCCTTTTCAGTATTTTTCAACTTCTTGTCATTCTAGATTGTAAGCTTAAAGGAGCAGGGCCCTCAAACCCCTCGTGTATTGTATTGTTACTGTATTGTCTCATGTTCTGTCCCCCACTATAATGTACAGCGCTGAGCAAACTTTTTGGCGCTATATAAATACTGTATAATAATAATAATTCTGTTTTATACTTTTTTTTCCTCTATTTCAAGTTTCATCAAAGATCTGTCTCTATGTCGTTTTGTACTTGGGGGAAGGGGGGGATAAATAAATATTTACCTTTAAATAAAAAAACATGAAAAAAAAAAAATTACAACTAAATATACACAAAACATAAAAGTAACTTCATAATGAAAAAGACAGGCAGATAGATCTATTTAGAGATATGGTACTTTTAAGCAGACAAAATCAAATAACTAGACTTCTATTAGGGCTGATATGTTGTTCTGGTTTCATTACTTGTAAAGAAAAAACAAAATATATATACAAACAATTCTTTAGGATGATTCAGAAAAAAAAGCCATATAGAGGGTTTTTCAGGTTTCCATGACAGTTAAGCAATTTCCTCATTTTCAGATCCTACGAGAGAAAGTTTAGTAAAGACTGAAAACCCTTCGCTTTTTTTTATTATTTTATTATAATGGTAAAATGCAGTTAGAAAGACACATTGATTGGGGTTGTTATACTTATTTTCAATACATAATTTCTCCATAATTATTATATGCCACCAAGTCAGTCAATGTAGACTCCTGGTATTCACATGTGTTTTTCTGGAAAGATCTGTTTTCTTTAGTTCTTAGCTCTTTTCAACAAAATGTTTATAAAAAAGGTCTCCCTCTTCCATTCAATTTTTGCAAGCATATTTTTTTGGGCTGGTTCTTCTCATATGTAAAAAAGGACAGCTTCAGACTAGTCATCTGGTCGTCAACTAGAGGAAAATTCATAAAGAGTTAAAATTCCCTTCTGCACCCAAATGGTTAGATCACGAATCTCACAAGGAATCAGGAATAGGTGTATAAAACTGTTTTAGGACGACTCTCCATCCTTGGTGCAGCTCAACATTGAGCTTTTCTGCCCACTGCATCAGTCACACAGACAGTACATGACTGTGCAGTTTTGTAGTGGGATGGGCAGAGCAAAAACAGGAAACAGAGACTAGTTCCCCCATCGGGTCTACCATGTTTTTGATTGACCTGGACAACAGGATTCTGACCAAATTAACTCAAGTAGATTTTCATCCTTTGCTCCTGATGATGCGTGTTTGCATGAAACAGCTGTAGAGAAAGATTGCTTTATGATATGTCAGAGGTCCTGCCGCCATTCTCTTGCCGAGTCTGGCGGCTGAACAGGTAAGTGAAATTTTTTGCGCTGGATAGTTATACACAGGTCCATTATGCTTTGTGGCGGTGAATTTTAACCACTTCCCAACCGGCCGTTGCATATAAACGGCCGGACGGTGGCAGTGCAGGGTCGGGTGGCCGTTTATAAACAGCCTCCCCGCACCCTGCTTGTGCGTGCTCCCTGGGAGTGCGCAGCACCGTGATCCGGTGCCCGCTGTGTCCTCCGGACACAGTGAAACACCGATCGGACGGGACCTCTGTACGAGGTCCCGATCATGTGATCACTAATTGGCCAATCAGTGATCACATGCAAAGTAGTAAGCAAGATGTCACTTGTGACATCATTGCTTACTACGTGTGAAATCTGTGAATGATCACAGAGGTCACATGGTACAAGCCTATTCACAACAGGCTTGTACCATGTGACAAGCTGTGACCAATCACAGCTCACTCAGAACTTCTCAATGAGTGCAAGAATGCACACAGAGAGAAAGAGAAATGATTGCTTTTAGATCCTATATGGGTGTAAAAGCAATGTGTAAAAAAAAAAAAAAAAAAATCTTCATCACCCCCCACAAGTAGTACAGTGTCACCATGGTGACACTGTACTGCTAGGGTGACAGTATGTAAAAAAAAAAAAAATAAAAAAAATAAAATAAAAATGTAAAAACAAAAATGTTTAAAAATTATAATTTTTGGTTATAAACCAATTTGGATTTTGTTTTTTACTAAAAAGATAACGGAATAAATGTCGGCAAAGATTTATGATGAAATATTATTTATTTGCAAAATTTTATGAAAAAAAAACACTTTTTTTTTTAAAATGTTTGGACTTTCATTTACATAGCAAAAAAAATTAAAATCCCAGCGGTGAATAAATACCACCAAAATACAGCTTTATCTGTCTCAAAAATATGGTAAAAAATTCATTTGGGTACAGTGTTGCATGACCGCGCAATTGTCATTCAAAGTGTGATAGCGCTGAAAGCTGAAAATTGCCCTGGTCAGGAAGGGGGTAAAAGTGTCTGGTCTGGAAGTGGTTAAAATAAAACTACTACACTATAAGCCTTTTGTTTTTATTGTGTGGTCTTCTGTGGCTAAGGGAGTGTTTGAAGAGCTATTGGTTCTGCTGGAGTATTTTTTCTTGGAAAAGAGCTTCATTGTCTACAAAAGTGCATTTTCCATTCTATTTATTTAGACAGCAATTGGAGTGGCGAGTACATTTAAACTAAGGTGGAGGTCAAACATCACTAATGCCAACATATGAAGATAAATCACAGAGAAGATTGTCCTTGAATTGTTGTAATATTATTTGGACTGTTCACTCCTTGTGATTCACTTAAATTGTCGCGGGTGTTGTGGTTTATTTTCATATATATTTTCAAGCACCGCAAGCTATTATTATTGTATCATTTTGGTGTTTTTGTGTATACACTTTTTGCTAGCAGCTAATTATCACTGAGAGCTGACTTTGTTATTTTATTGTCATATTTGCATGGAGGAACTGTGATTATGAAAGACAAAAAAAAATTACATTTTTTATACAGCAGGGATTGGCGTGAATGGTTCTATGCATTCTGTAAAAGCACTGCAGAATATCAAAGCTATATTTAGCCCTGGTTCACATGTATGAGGGCATGTGTGCAGCAGGTGTGTGGGCACAGCATCCTATTCATTGGAAGAGACTGCTGTGCCTGCATTCTCTGAAAGGAAAAGGTCCCTGCACCTTTTTTAAAAAGCTGGCCGTACTGAAAATGCACCACCTTTTTCAGGGGTGCCAGTAAGTGTTTTAAAAAAAAAAAAAAAAAAAAAAAAAAAAAAAAAAACAAACACACACACCACAAAAACAAAAAGTAACACTTTCCTACAACACACTTCCCACAAAGACATACCTGTGCCATGTTTAGGACATCTCCATATTTTACATATGCAATCTGTATTGTCAAGAGGCTGCTTTTGCTGTCCTGTGGAGCAGGCTGCAATGGAGAATGCAGATATGTTAGAACAACTACAAGCGAACACAGTTAAAACATGTTCATGCTTTTTTGTATAAACGACATCCGTAATACATTTTTTTATCCCTCACTTGTAAATGTATTGTGTGCATAGCAACATTATTAAAAAAAACAAAACACTACAACTGAAATCTGAAAAATAGAATTGCTTTTCAAAAAGCAATGGGGACTTCTGTAATCCAGACACGTACCAGACCTTCTTTAGTAGCAAGAAGCAGCATTTTAGCATTGTTTTTCTGAGCCAGAATAGCTTTATCCATCATAGAGCAGTTTCCATCCATCACAACGACTGCCATGTCCTGAAATCCTGCACTGGGAACATCTGAAGGGCTGCACAGCCACACGGAGCTCAAGTTTAACAACCTGTAAAAGCTCTGAAAAATAAAGAACACAAAATGAACCAATAACCAAATGACATGGCAACATTCCAGCAAGAGCAAGACTTTAAAGACACAGTAAACCAGCTGCATTCAAATTCTGGACCAAGGGGTTATGTCAACTTACTACAGTCCACATTTCTGGGTTTAAGCTGGAGTTTGGCTTTAGGATTAAATTCCTATGTGACCCGGGAGCCCCTTAAAACTTCGTACCAGGATGTGGGCATTAACCTTTGCTCAAAACTTGATACTCATAGTACTATGCCGCCCCAATCTGTCATTCAACTGAAAACTTTCAGAGGGCAATAAAGGCTTTGGCATTTAGTACTTCAAATGACAGGGGTAGGTTTGAATATTGGGAAAAATACCTGGTCTCATGCACAGCCTGGGTCTAGGATCTAAAAGGATAGCAGAGTTACAGGTATGTGTTACCATAGAAATGTTTTACGCCAGATCAGATTCTGTAAGCTCAGTAAGAGAAGAAAACAAACCTTTCATATGTAAGCCTACCTACTAATATGAAGATTTACTATATATATATATATATATATATATATATATATATATATATATACACATATATATACACATACATACATACATATATACATATACACATACACATACACATACACACACACACACACACACACATACACACACACATATACACACACACACAGCCTATTGTTCAGAAGTTCTTCTTTCCTCTTGTTTCAGCTGGTCCACTCAGCACTTGTTCTGCTCTCTGGCTTCAGGGCAGCTCCTTTCCCCCAGAAGGGTCCTACAGAACCACCACTGCATTCACGCTCTAGGTTGGGACTAGTGCTGAATGGCCATGCAAACCCACAGCCCTTGCAAGCTATTCCCCTGCCCCAAGCAAGCTGACTGGGCAATGTGCGGAGTCCCTGTGACTTGGTAAAGCATGCTCGTACCCTAAAGGAATTTGGGGAAAGCTGCACTGATGGACCCAGAGCCTGAGGCAGTGAAAAGGGACTATGGTAAGTGTTTGTGTCATATACCATGCATATTATTTAGGGTTTACTACACTGCTTAGCGTGTATAGTTGAAAGAAAGTGTAATGTTTACTACTTTAACTAAATATTTAGATTCTTGCATAAATTCAAATATGAAAAGTTCTCTTTACCCAACACTGAAAGTTTCCACTTTTAGTTAAGTGTTAGAGAACCAAGTTTATGCTGGCCATACAAGCTGCACTTCAAATTAGCAGGAAATCCAACCAAAACCATCAAACTGAGTGAAGATTATACAAGGTCATTAGCACATTCGATCAACTCCAAGCACTAGCCAACACCATTTTAACAAATAAAGTATGACATTGAAAGAATTTTCTGAAGGTTTCCATCAAAATGGGATCAGATCAGGTACCCATTTTCTATGCCTGCTCACTTAATCAATTTTGAACCTATTAATTTATTATTAAACTTTCAACTTGCAAGATGAACTCCAATAAAGCAGTTAAAAAGGTTGAAATATACAAGAGCTGTACCGAAAGTAATGCAAAAGTGGGCATAACTTTTTTATTAGCTTACATCGGTCATTCACATCTCACATGGTTGGTAGAGTAAAGCAGGCCATACATTAAACAATTTTCGTTCCTGCAATTACAGGTTGCAGGAAAGAAAACTGCTTGACTCCCCCATCAACATAGTTAGTAGTGATAAGGAAATCCCTTCCATGAAGCCTTTTTTTAATAATTCTTTATTTAAACAGCTTCCCGTCTGCTGTCTATAGACTATGTGTAGTGCCGATGCAGGCTACCTGTACATTAGCCCACATCAGTGGCTCCAGCACAGCTCACAGAGCATGTACTTGGGAGCCCAGCGATCAGTATGTCACCCAGATACAGCAAATCACAGTACTGCTGTGTCAGTGTGATTACATGGTGTTTTACCATGTGATTGCTGTGTCCAAGCACAGCAATCACATTACCGCTGTGTCCGTGTGATTACATGGTGTTTTACCATGCGATTGCTGTGTCCAAGCACATAGTAAACAATGAAAGTGTAAAGATTTGTTCTCTCTGCTCTCACTATAAGGCTAGGTTCACACCTATGCAGGTTGCGTTTGATGCGTTTCTGCATTTTCAAAAAATGCATCAAAAATGCTTTTCTGCAGCATTCCCATGGAAGTCTATAGAACCAGAAAACGCAATGTTTTGCATTCACAAAATTCCTTGTCCCTTTCCAAAAAATGCACCAGGTGAAAACGCGGAGATGTGTGAAAGTGTCCCATAGGAAATCATGTTAAATGGACTGTACTGCGTTTCTGCAAAAATGCAAAACGCTGCAGAAAACTCTTAGGTGTGAACCTAGGGTAAGAGTAGAGAGACCCCGATGCTGCAGCCTGTGAGCGTACAGCAGCTTGTTAGGCTGCATGTACACTCACAGACTGCTGTGCCAGCCACCCCAGTGTTCCTGATCTCTGCCCCAGTGTAGTCATAATAAATAATGCAGCCAGGCCCTGTCACCTGTCCCAGTGCCCACAATAACACCGCCGTAAACCAAACCAGCGTCCTGATCTCCGCCAAACCAGTGTCCTGATCTCCGCCATACCTGCCAACGTATGGATCACCACCATACCAGCGTCCTGATCACTGCCATACATTATACCATGGTCCAGCATTTTAGAGTCTCAATTGATCACTTTTCATATATAGACTAACTAATATACACTGTTTTGGGTTATTTTTACCTGCAAAATGTAGCAGAATACATTTTGGCCTAAATAATGAAGGACAATTATTTACTTACAAAAATACTAAAGAAAATTTATTTTTATTTTTTTTTTTTTTTTTTACAAAATTTCAGGTATTTTTAATTTATAAAGCAGAAAAAAACCCAGTGGTGATCGCTCTGTCTCAAAATAAATAAATAAATCAAGATAAAAATGTCATATTGGTACAGAGCTGCATGAGTAATTGCCTACTCAAAATGTGAAAGCTGAAAATAGGCCTGGACTGGAAGGGGGTGAAAGTGTCCGGACTTGAAGTGGTTATGTCAGAATCTTCATACAGTCCAAGATCAGCAGAACAACGATCAGCATGTAGCAAGAAGTATTCTGAACATTGCAACTTTTGATCTTACAAATATCATAAAGATACAGACAGGAGAGGCAGTAAAAAAAAATACCACAGACCTGTTGGGAAAGGATGCACTTCTCTCACCCCCAGAGGACACCCCTCTCAGCCATCTGGAAAAAGTCAGGAATAGCTAAATGATAGCCACTATAAGTCTGTTAGTGAATCGGCCATCATCTACAAATAGGCATCCATGTATACAAAATACTTCTAGGGCCTCCACTTCTCCTGAAATACCTCTTCAGTGTAGGGTAGCGGACAATTCCTCCATATAGAGGATCCCTGTGAATCTTTTGTATACTGACAGCTGGAGGCTTCCCCGGCATCAAAATGCAATGAACACTGCTGACAGCTATTAGTGCTGGAAATGATGGAATGGAAAAAAAAAACCAACAGGCTGCTTGTACTGAGGTTGGTGAGTGGATCAGCGTCGGTACAACAAGCCTGCCCATAGATGGATTGAATTTTGGCCGGTCCCTGCTGAACTGGCTGAATTTCGATCCATCTATGGCCAGTCTAACTCTTGCTCTATAGTAACTGCTCTTCTTCATTGCAGGTAAATAATGGATTTCAGGCAGAAACCATGTGCCATCATTGAGTCCACTCACTGATTCGTGTCAGTGGTCCCAGTAGATGGTCTCGCACTGCAAGGTTTGTCTTCAGTTCTGGTTCCCCTTCTTTAAACTTCAATTACATTGCTCAAGTCAATGTTGCTACCTCTGGAAACATTCTATAGGCTTCGGTGGATGTCAGACAACCTGCACTCCTCCTTCGTCAAGAACTCAATCACAGCACATTGTATTTTGCATGATATTTATAAGAAAAAGTTATACATGGTATAAAACTGGTAATCATTCTCCCTTCTCTTTCTGTATATACCTATGTGGTGCAACTGATGGACACCAGCCACCTAAGCTGGATAACTAATATTTTTGCTTTGTTCATCTCTTTAACATGGTAGCTGATGGGAGAAGTAGTTTACATAAGATAGATAAGGCTCCATTCACAACTGTGCATTTTATGTGCCGGTCACATTTTATTTAATGTGCCTTCATGAAAGCATGCATTATATAGAGTTTAGTGGTAACACACCTAAAAAAACGCACAACACACAGATGTGAAAGAGCAACCAACAATTATTTTGTCTTCAGTGCAACTGTATGGAAGTAACAGACATTTCTGGCAAAATCACTTGCTTGCTAAAAATGTTCTTAGTCTGAAAAACAGAAAACTAATGCAACTACCACATCTGAAGAATGGCAAGCTGCAATATATTATATTTTGTCCTTGGATTTAGTTATGTTGTTTAATACATATTGGGGCGTCTTTGTATTTTCTTCATTTAAACCACAGATCTCAGGTCTTATGTTAGGTACCATTTGCGCAGGTGCTTTGCCATGCTGCAAATCTGATTACGGTTGCTGGGATTGACAGCTGCATGCAGATAGCATTCCCGATCCCATAGACCACAATGACAGGCTGTCTGTGGCTGCAGCTATTTGTGCCTGTTCGTAAAGCCAGCAATTGTTTGTGGCTGGACACAAAGTACTACCTGCATGCAGCGGTCAATACATGCAGCAGAAATCCATAGATTCCTGCAGCTGGAATTCACAGCATGGCAAAATGTCCTTGGAAATGGTGCCTTAACATCTCTGGTAATTCTTGTGCACATAGTATACCACCCTTCATCGTTGAGTACCATCTAAGAGTGGAGATAGGCAATCATAATTGGGGGCTTTTGTAGGATTTCTATCTCCCATTAGCAACAGAAATAAAAAATAAAAAAAAAATTAAAAGTAGATAGTTCACCCTACATCATTAGCAGTGTAATACAAAGTGATTGCTATACTACTGGTTGCTTCCGTGTCTCCTTGTCACCGTAGAAGAATTATTTCTA